TTCTCAAGAGTCTCCTCCAGCACCACAATTCAAAGGCATCAATTCTTCGGCGGTCTGCTTTCTTTATGGTCCAGCTCTCACTTCCATACATCATGACAGGAAAAACCATAGCTTTGACTATGCGGACTTTTGTTGGCAAGGTAATGTCTCTGTTTTTTAAGGTGCTGTTGAGGTTTGAAATCGCTTTCCTCCCAAGAAGCAGTCATCTTTTAATTTTGTGGCTGCTGTCACCATCTGCAGTGATCATGGAGCCCAAGAAAGTAAAATCTGTCACTGCCTCCATATCTTCCCCTTCTATTTCCCAGGAGGATGGGACCAGTGGCCACGATCTTGATTTTTTTGATGTTGGGCTTCATACTGTTTTTTGCACTCTCCTCTTTCACCCTCATTAAGAGGTTCTTTAATTTGTCCTCCTTCAGGCAATCTTAATACCGCCTTGGGATTCCTCCAGTCCGGCCTTTTGCATGATGTAATCTGGATATAAGTTAAATTATATGCAGGGGGGGGGGAACAATATACAGCCTTGTCGTACTCCTTTCCCAATTTTAAACCAATCAGTTGTTCCATATCCAGTTCTTTGCTTCCTGTCCTACGTGTAGGTTTCTCAGTAGATAGATAAGGTGGTCAGGCACTCCCATTTCTTTAAGAACTTGCCATAGTTTGTTGTGGTCCACACAGTCAAAGGCTTTTGCATAGTCAATGAAGCAGAAGTAGATATTTTTCTGGAACTCTGGCTTTCTCCATAATCCAGTGCATGTTAGCAATTTCGTCTCTAGTTCCTCTGCCCCTACAAAATCCAGCTTGTACTTCTGGGAGTTCTCGATCCACATACTGCTGAAGCCTACCTTGTAGGATTTTGGGCATAACCTTGCGAGTGTGTGAAATGAGTGCAGTTGTACGGTAGCTGGAACATTCTTTGGCACTGCCCTTCTTTGGGATTTGGATGTAGACTGATCCTTTCCAGTCTTCTGGCCACTGTTGAGTTTTCTAAACTTGCTGGGATATAGAATGTAGCACCTTAACAGCATCATCTTTTAAGATTTTTAATACTTCAGCTGGAATGCCATCACCTCCACTGGCCTTGAAACTTGTTGTTAATACTAAAATGTTTTGATTAGCTTGTTCTAAAGGCTTTGACTGTTTAATATCTCCAGATTGTTTTTATTTTTCTTGGTAACGATTTTACTTTCCCCTTCTCTGTCTAAAGAGTAAAATGATACTTCTTCTAATGAAAACCATCTCTTGTTTTACAATGCAGTGACAAGATTGCTACTGGATCATTTGATAAGACCTGCAAATTATGGAGTGTGGAAACTGGAAAATGTTATTACACGTTTAGAGGACACACAGCAGAAATTGTGAGTATAGGAGGTTTTGGGAAATTGTCACAATTTGAGTTCTCAGATCTCTAAAATTTAAGTGATTGGCATATTGCATTTTACTGGCATTAGAGGAAATTGAAAGAAACAACAACTGTCTCTCTATTGTGCTTTCATTTTGACAAGCAGCAAGGAGCACAAGAAATCCACAAATGTGTCAGAATCTTTCCTCCCTCTTTTATCTATCAGGTCTGTTTGTCCTTTAATCTTCAAAGCACACTGGTTGCTACTGGAAGTATGGATACTACAGCTAAACTATGGGACATACAAACTGGAGAAGAAGTGGTCACATTAACAGTGAGTTGCTGCTTTTTATATTTCTAGTGATTATTTGATGCTTTCCTAGGTTGAATTGAAAGAATCTTTGGAAAGAGCACTTTTTAATCACAAGTTGGAAAAGTAAGAGGTGAGAATCGCTTGGTACTTGTAGTTAAATAATGCATTTCAGGTAGCATAAAGGAAGAGAAAAAGCTGGATTTTTATTAAAGGTTTAAGAAAGCTTACGTGCTGAGCAATCCAGTGCAAATTCACCCAGAAGAGCGTCATACTATCTTCAGCAGTATTTACTCCAAGACCTAGATGAAGAGATTGCAGACTAGCATGCAATTATTTACATGTTTACTTTGGAGTAAGTCCCTTTCAACGCAGTGGGATTTATCTCTAATTAGATATATAAAGGATTAAACTGTAAACCATGAAACTTACTTTTCCTAATTCATCCTAATTCATTCTGTAGGGCAGAAGGTATTGCTTTATTAATTAAAATCCACTTATAGTATTTCATCATATATCCCCTAGACTCAAAGGTACTACATAATTTCTGTAAAATCTATTATCATTAGGGTAACTACATCAGCTTCAGGCAAGCTTGATCAATAAGTGAGTGTGGAAATGTGGTCCAGAACATCTGGAAGGCAAATGTGTCCTCATCCCAATTGGAGACACATAACAACCAGTGGTCTGTTTTCTTATGTCCTAGCACCCTGGTTTCATTTACCTTCCTTGTGACCTACTTTGCTTAGTAGGAAAAACTTTATGCATTTTTACAATGCTTATATGTAAAATATATGTTATATTACCTCTACATTTTTAGGGGCACTCTGCAGAGATCATTGCACTATCATTTAATACCACAGGAGATAGAATCATCACGGGTTCCTTTGATCACACAGTTGCGGTATGGGATGTCAGCATGGGCAGGTACTTTTAAAAACTATGTTATATTGTTTGTTTTACTGAAAACTTAAAAGAATTTCATAGAAAAATTTTCACGTTCAAAATCTGCCTTCCTTTGATTATCTTTCTGATCCATTTTAGGTAATGAAAAGATTGTTGAAACCAAAATGATAAAAATGTTGGTGTATTATTCCCCTATGCTTCTCCCTGGCAACATATCTGAGCTTTCACTGCCAAAGAATTATGGTAATATCGCTCCATGTGGCAGGTTTTATAGGGCATCATAGTTAAACAATGGAGGATACAGTGGGGTCTCGACTTAAGAACTTAATCCGTATTGGAAGGTGGTTCTCAAGTCGAAAAGTTCTTAAGTCGAATCTGCATTTCCCATAGGAATGCATTGAAAACCATTTAATCCGTATCTGCTCTTTTCTGTCCATTAATGAAAAGATTGTTGAAACCAAAATGATAAAAATGTTGGTGTATTATTCCCCTATGCTTCTCCCTGGCAACATATCTGAGCTTTCACTGCCAAAGAATTATGGTAATATCGCTCCATGTGGCAGGTTTTATAGGGCATCATAGTTAAACAATGGAGGATATATATTGCAATATTCATCTTTCAGTATACTTTTATTCATTTCTTTAAAGAATTTACATCTTGCCTTATTGAACACATAAGGCATCTTCTTGTGGAGGCTTGCACAGAATAATGGTGGCAAACTTTTGTATATGCAAGCAGAAAACATTTTTATCCAGTTATGCCTCTGCCAATTGGAAGTTACTTTTCAGGAGGGATACTCCGTAGCCTCTGTGAGAAATCACAAAAATATAGGCTGATTTAGGCCCATACAGCTAATTCTGGAGAAACAGTAAAGAGATTTATGATGGTTGACAGCAAATTACCTGAGCACTAAGTAACATTGAGCGCATCAGGCCTTCTTTGCATCCGTAGGTATCATGGAAAGGTCAATACAATTACAAGTGCATAATGTGAACTAAATTGAGTAATCATTTACTGAACGTTAATGGAACGGGTTGGATGTTTTTGGGGTTTTGGGGTGGTTTGTTTTTTTTTGCAGTTGTGGCATACAAAGAGAATATTATTCAGAACATTTGCCTTTATGACTTTCTTACATGGTACAATAATTAACAAAGATGTCTTTACCTAAAATGAATACTAAACAAGAAATAATGTACTATAAGTATTTCACATTATGCATAGTATACAAGGGTACACACATGAATATTTGCGTAGGTTATAAAGCATTGAGTCCTTGAAAACATTAATGAATACACATATATGTAAATCTGTAGCTAGAAATATACTCGAAATTGTATACTAGAAATGAGCAAAGGGTGGTGCCAAATGTACAGAAGTGGCTCCCTCATTTTGAAATGAGGTTGTAATGGCCTAAATAAGGCATGGGATGGCCTGAAGTGGCAAGTTGTGCTCCCAGAGGGTGTGATTTCCCAATTCATACTTTTTAAAAGGGGGGTTTAGGAGAGCAGGGATAGCTGTCATAGGTCTCAGGTGATGGATATAGTTCCAGGGCAGTGGCAATGCCCATCCATGATCTATCTATCTGCTCACTTTTTATAACTGTGCGTAGCTGTCATAGGTCTCAGGTGATGGATATGGTTCCAGGGCAGTGGCAGTGCCCATCCATGATCTATCTGCTCACTTTTTATAACCTGTGCAGTCAAAAAGGAGATGCCCAGATTTTTACTCTTGTTCAATTGAAAATGAAATCTAGCTTTTGCAGTTGGAAGAAGTTATGATTGTCAAAGTATAGCAAGCTTGGAGTTGGATTTAAGTCCTTTGCCTGAACTTTTAGAGAACAAGGTTTGCAGACAGAACTTAACACCAAGGCTGCAGTCTTTCACACATTTGAGAGGATGTTCCATTGAATACCTAGTGATACTAAAGAAGCATGAATAGCACTGCACTTAAAATAAATAAGGAATAATTTAATCTGTGGCCAATGTTATTTTTCTTAACCTAACTACATTGCTGTTATGAAGCAAGTATATACTTGTTATTTTTCTTTCTCCTGCAGAAGAATGCATACCTTAATAGGACATCGTGCAGAAATAAGTAGCGTGCAGTTTAATTGGGACTGCACTCTGATCATTACTGGATCAATGGACAAAACATGTATGGTAAGATATTTCATCCATCTTAACATGGGCGAAGATCCATATTTTAGTTTTCATAGATGAAGGGATTTCTTTAGTTCACAGAAAGTGAGTGATGAGGGGAGGGAGTCGGCTGGCAGAAGGGAGCAAGGCCATCTCCCCATCTCCTGCAGCTCCCTGGAGTCTCTGAAGATTTGCTTTGGAGGCTTTTGCAAGCTTCTGAAGCAGATTTTGGAATGATGCACAAATGTTATAGCTATGAAATATTGGCTTTTTTGAAACTTTGGTTAAAAACCTCAGGGTTCCATTAAAAGGCGGTGTCTCCCTGTTGTTTCTCAGGAGCTCCAGTTTGCTTACAGTCTGCTTACCATCTCAGTTTACTGTAAGAGTTGCAATCATCAGAGAAGCAGAAAACAAGGTTTCCTTCATTAGAAGCATTTGGCATAGTAAGAGGTCACTGCTGCAAGTTACTGAATACCCTTGAGCAGCATGGTTTTCAAACCTTTTGAACTTGCAGCTCCCTTGACTTTTGGGCTACTGGCCATGGCTCCCTTGTACAGTAGGACTGCCAAGTCCACGGGATTAGTGCCCACAGTTTTACTTATCCACTGCCTAAAACCCCAAAAAAACCCAATTATAATAATAAAAACTTGGACTGCCAAGTCCACGGGATTAGTGCCCACGGTTTCACTTATCCACTGCCTTAAAAAAAAAGATAATTATAATAATAAAAAACTTGAGGTGTATTACTAGGACTGGCCACTAGATGGAACCAGAGACTAAACTGTATATACAGATAGTTGTGGGTTTTTTTGGGCTCTTTGGCTCAAAAAACCCACAACAACCATTAGATCCCCGGCCGTGAAAGCCTTCGTGAATACATTGCATATACAGATAGTTTAAGGGTAATGCCCTCATGGCCTGACTTTTCCCAGAGAAGCAGCTTCTGGAAAATGAAGAAGCTACATTTTTGTAGGGGTGGGGGGAGGAAGGAAGACTCCCTTTTGAACAGGAGGTCAGGAAACCCAATCTTTCAGCAAGGCTGGGCCAGGATTCCCTCTCTTCACCATACAGGGACACTAGAGTAGTATAGTATACTCTGAGCGAGGGAGAAGGGAAGGGAGGAAGGAGGAGAGAATTCCGTGGTGCCACTGGGTTGGCTTTCAGGTGCCTCAGGGAGCCACGGTGCACATTTTGGGAACCACTGTCCTTGAAGAATGAATCTTTGTTTTCAGAAATGCACTCGACCTTAATAAATGTAAGTATTCTTGAGAACTGTTTCTTCAAGTCATTTGCTAAGCTCTGAAAACACCTCATCAGCTTGCTTGAAAAGTTGTGCTGTAGCTGCTTAACAAAATCCTCAGAACAACTTGCACGCCAGTCTGCTCTGAGGAATAATTGTGAGCACCTACAGAGATCTGGAGGATTGGCCATGTCCACATGCCCACAGAATGGGCATAATTCCATTAGACATTTCACATCAGTGTCATGTCGTAAAAATATGTTACCTGGTGTACATGAAATAATGAATGAGGATTGACAGCAATACATTTACAAGCATGTCACATAAATAAAGAGGCTGCTTTTGACTGACTGCCCTTATGTGCCTGCATTCCTGCTAACTGCTTTTTGTTGCAGCTGTGGAATGCTGTGACTGGCAAGCGTGTGGCAACTTTAACTGGCCACGATGATGAAGTATTAGATGTTTGTTTTGATTACACTGGCCAGCGTATTGCAACTGCCTCAGCTGATGGTAGGTGAAATTAACTAATTGATTCATATGTCTAAGTCCTGCATCAGGTGGCTGGAAAAGTGTCTGCGGAAGAATAACATTTCATCTTAGGGCTTGATCAAACAGGCATTTGTTTTGCTGCTTTTTGCGATATGGGGAGGGGTTGGTCTTCTCTTTCTTATGGCAACCAGACAACCTGAATGACTTAGATTACATTTTGAAAATATTTTTCTTTGCCTTTGTGTGAAGTGCCAATCGAAACCGCAGCTACAGGCAGTTTCTTGATCAGCACTACACACAAGGCAAATAAAATATTTTTAAAAATTTAACATAAGTGATTTGTGACATCAACAATGGTCTGGAAGAGTAAAGAAATAATAATCTCATTTCCGTATACTGGAAATGCTGATATATTAAGCCACTTCACAATATCGGAAATAGGGTTGCTTGAGGTCGATATGCCATTTGGACACGAGGATTGCACCAAATGGTGTTTCACTCCTCCCTCTGACATAAATGACTATATTTAGACTGTACCAGCTCACACTAGAAGGGCTACTGCAGTCACACTCTTACCTTTTTGCAGCAGAAATAACCCCAGTAACCTGACCCACAAGGGATGTGGTGGCGCTGTGGGCTAAACCACAGAAGCCTTTGTGTGCTGCAGGGTCAGAAGACCAGCAGTCATAAGATTGAATCCACACGACGGAGTGAACTCCCATCACTTTGTCCCAGCTCCTCGCCAACCTAGCAGTTCGAAAGCATGTAAATGCGAGTAGATAAATAGGTACCACCTCGGTGGGAAGGTAAAGAGCGTTCCGGGTCTAAGTCGCGCTGGCCACATGAGAATGGAAACTGTCTTTGGACAAACGCTGGCTCTACGGCTTGGAAACGGGGATGAGCACTGCCCCCTAGAGGCGAACACGACTTACTAAAAATGTCAAGGGGAACCTTTCCCTTTCCCTTAACCTGACTCACAGTGACTCACACTGTTTCTTCATGTGCTTTATGCATAACTTAAAAATAGAGGCCTTTATATGAAAGCTACAGAAATGCTATGGTGAGAAGGGGGAACAAACTTGATTCTCAGAGACTCCTGATCATGTGAAGAGCCTCCGTGACGTTACCAGGAGTTCCCAGAAATTATGAGAGATAAGGATATCCATATAATTAACCACTTTTCAGATATTCTAGTATCTGCATTACAGATGTATCTGTAATGACTGAGTAATGTTTGGATTGTAATGATTGAGTCACTCTTCTCTCTCTTACTGTCATGTGTTTGATCTGGGCTGCAAAAACATCCAACCAATTTTCTCATAACAACTCATGGATTATAAGGTTTGAACCTGCATGCAATCCTACCCTCTGTTCTTTAATTGTCACAGAGAACCAGATGTTTGTATAAAAGATGTGTTTATTCAAAAGTGTCACAGTTCAGTGTTATTCCTTCCCAAGTCAGTGTGCTTAGGGCTTCTCCTGTATTTAACTGGAGTAAAGCTGTGCTTAATTAGACTAAACACAACCCCCAAACACCTATGCTGACCCAGATTCCTGTTTTTCTACTCAAGGATCTGCAAGAGTTTATGATGCAGAAACAAAAAAGTGTATTGCAAAACTTGAAGGTCATGGAGGCGAAATTTCAAAGGTAATACCTGTTTCATACCTGATGCTTTGTTTCTCTGTAGTGATGTTCTGAGTAAGCTGTCTTGGTCCACACATTTGCTTTGGGTAGTTTTGCTTGTTTATACGATTAATTGATTTCTTGACACTTGGGCATGGTACACAGAAGCAGCATTCCTTTCCCACTCTTTGCTCTTCCTTATAGAGTTTTAGTCTTTTGGATCTCCAGTGTGATAGCTGTGGACAGTCATCAGTAGTTCTCAAATGAAAGTTTTCACTGCAGAACAGTATTCTTGCAGATTGGGCATACAATGCTCCCATTCTGTATGATCAAATGTATCTGCTAACGTCAGCAAAATTTATACACATGTAAGTAGGTATAATTTCAGCTTTTAAGGTCTATGCTGGCATTTTAGTTACTGGAGAGGCTAGTTGATTCTTCTCTCCATTTGAACATTTAAGTGCAGTGCCATTAAATAAAACCCTTTGCAATTTTCCAGAGGCAGTATGCAGTGGAATTTTTTCACAGCTATGATAGGGTATCCCTCATAAGAATGCTAGTCTAAGTTCCACCTCTCCTACATCCTTGGATGATACACCTTTAAGGTAACCAGATGCATTAGAAGAGATCCTCCTCTATAATTTATGTAAAAGAAGCAATTTGGGCATGTTTAACTTCTTGACACTGGCAATATGATGAAATAATAGTCTACTCCTCTGCCAAAGTTATCTTTGCACAGTCATTAAAGGTACAGAAGTCTCATCTAATATTTCCTTTGCCTGCCATACACAAAAGTTTTATTTTTTATGTTGGAAGACTGCCTCTTTGCCCTTTTCTCTTGTATTTATCTTTAGGTTCAGAAGGGGGTTGTTATAATTTGCTGAACTAAGGATATTGGATATGTTCACATATAGTTGGTGCCTCGACTTACAAACTTAATCTGTTCCAGAAGATGGTCGTAATTCGAAAGGATCATAAGTCAAAGCACCATTTCCCATAAGAATGCGCTGAAACACAATTAATCCGTTCTGGCCAGAAAAAAAATCACCAAAAAAACCCACAAACCTACAACAAAACACTGCAAGACCTGTTGGAAACGCAATTAATCTGTTCCGGCCGAAGGGAAAAAAAACAAAAGTAAACAAACCCTGCAAGACCCATTGGAAATGCAACACCCCCCCCCAAAAGCAAACAAACCATGCAAGGCCCATTAGAAATAAAACAAAAACAAAAACAAAACACCCAAAAAGTAAACAAAGCCTGCAGGACCCATCGGAAATGCAAAAAAAGAAAACCAAAAAGCGAACAGACCTTGCAAGACCCATCGGAAATGGGGAAGAAAACTCAAAAAAGCAAACAAACCCTGCAAGACCCATCAGAAATGGGGGAAAAACCCCCAAAAGCAAACAAATCCCGCAAGACCCATCAGAAATGGGGGAGAACCCCCAAAAAGCAAACAAACCCCACAAGACCCATTGGAAATGGGGAAAAACACCAAAAAGCAAACAAACGCTGCAAGACCCATTGGAAATGCTCAAAACCCCCCCAAAAAACAAAGACTACAAGACCCATCATAGCACAGAAACATAACCCCCCCAGCCCAAAACCACGCTGCAAAACCCACCCAGAACAGGCAGTTTTTAAAAAGCAGAAAGCAGCACCTCAGCAGGCAGTCCGAAGCCGCCTCCGAACGCACACACTCTTACCACAAAAAAGCAGCCTCTTCACCACCAATACTTAGCAGTTCGAATTCCCCACCCTTTCCCCTGCCTTTTTCCTATCATAACTTGAAGCTCCGGTCTCAAGTCGAAGCAAAATTTTGCGATGGAGCTCGTCATAACTCGAATTGGTCGTAAGTTGGGACGTTTGTAAGTTGAGGCACCAGTGTATCTGCTCTTTGATAACAAAGTGGCTGATAGTTGCACATGTACTTTATGAAGAAGGAGACAATTCTTGTTGATAGAAGCAAAGCATTAAAAGAATTTTAGATTTAGGAAGTCATATTAATTTAAATCACCTTTAAATCACTCAGTTTCATCTGCAAGACAGCAAGCATCAGAATATTTGTCCATAATAAAATATATATGTAAACAGCTGAGAGATGCGAAGGATGTTCTTACACCACAGTTCAAAGAACAAGACATCCTTTGTATGTGCCGATTTGTACTAGTGTTGTTGGTTGTTGTTCTGCAGTTTAATTCTCTGAGAGTAACAGCAGGTTCATCATGTTGTTGCACAATTAATGGAAGCATTAGTGTCTGTGTAATTTAATTTGGCAGTATGTTGGTATTATTAAATCGCATAATTAGAACAAAGGTTTATAAGTGGGATTACAATTTTAATATATTGTTTAGGTTTAAAAATGACAAAATATAGAGGGCTCTCTAAAATAACACATGCTGTGGCCCTTTTTCTGAGAAAGGTAGTGAGTCAGGAACCTTTTGCTTGCTGTGGGAAGGTTTATTCCTTTTCAGTCCATTTCAGTGTTAGCTCTTGAGAATACAAACTTTTCTAATATTTACCTAAAACAAACTTTTCTAATATTTATTTAGGTAACAGTGCTGTGCTGTATGCATCACAATATGCAAGTACTAAAGAGATGAATTCATGTCTTTAAATAAATCATTTTCGTTTTGTTTTTCTTTTTAAAGATCTGTTTCAATCCTCAAGGCAGCCGTATTCTTACAGCCAGCTCGGATAAGACAGCTCGGCTTTGGGATCCTCAGATAGGGCAATGCATTCAAATACTAGAAGGCCACACTGATGAGATATTTTCATGTGCTTTCAACTACAAGGGCAATATAATTATTACAGGTAAGTAATATCTTGTCTAGAAACTGTCTTACTATTATTTCTCTCAATAATGATTAATAGGGGCAAAGCATTGTGGAATAAATGGAGTTTCCCAGTTAGTTTTCCCTACTGTCATAACCCCATTTTATCGTTCCCGTACAGATTTTGATCAAATTGTAATCTTTTGAATTTTGGCATATTGTTTTCTTCAAACTGAGTTCATCCAAATTTACATTTAAGTATTCTTGGAAGAAGTGAGTGAAAGTTATTTCACCACACCATTTAAAAATTTCTAGGTCAGCTACAACACCATTAGCTTGAGATGTACATCCTCATATGAGATCTGCAACTTGGATTTGCTATTTTCTTTCCTGACAGAAACTCTGTCTCTATATTAGCTGCAGTAAAGGCAAAAATTGACAAGATTCAGGGAGATGCAGTGATGGAAAAGCAACACCTTTTGAATTCTGCCTGCTGCATTACTGTTAAAAGGGCAAAATATATGGAGCTCACTTATTCTGATCTAAACCACTGGTTCATGTAGCCCTATGCTATTTTCTATGAACTGAAGTGGCTCTGAGAGTACTCAAACAGAGGTATTTTCAAGATATTCTACCTGAGGTCCTTTAAACTTGAGATAACTAGAATTGAAACATGGTAGATTCTATCTGCAAACTGCATGTTCTTCACCTAAGCTATAGATTTATTGATTCAAAGGGAAAATTACCTCCAGAGTTAGTTGCAGAAGGTATTGTGGAGGGGTAAGTGGGGTTGGAACATTACATTGGTAATAGAAATGGAAGGGATGGGTGTGTATGAAACAAAAACACGGTTGATCCTGCATATTTCAAACAATATTGGAAATTTGTTATTTATACATTATAGTTATACAAATGGCACTTTAAAGAATAACTCATTATTTTTCATTTTAGGTAGCAAGGATAATACCTGTAGGATATGGCGCTAATTGAAGACCATGTCCGACTCAACTTCCCAGCAGCTTTCATGCAACACGTTTTACACAATAACCACTAAGCCTTCAAAACCTATTCATGTGCTTCTCTCTGTTTTAGCCTTGTTTAAGTAGACTTTCCTGGATTCATGAAATAACAATGCTAGCTAGTTTTATCTATATCTATCCATCTATCTATGTATATCTGCTTAATATAGTAGTGATTAACTTATGAGAAGTGAGATTATTTTCTTTGTAATGATCTGTATGCCAATTTGGGTAGGGATGGTAGGGATGGTGAGATGCATCATTATGTTAGTAAGTATTAGGATATGGATGCATTTCACATTATGAGTTGGTCTCTTTTTACTTTGTGTACTGAATTTTTATTTAATAAAAATATTAATAAGCAATAAGAAATTGTGACTGTTTACTTAGACCTAGAACATATTAAATCTTTCTGTTCATATATTGTGTACTTCTAGAGAAGACATATGCTTTTAAAACTTGATTTCAAAATTCTGCTGTCTAGCAATATGCCCATAGTGTCTAGTAAACATTAAAAACCATGAACTAACATTTTAAAACAAATCAGAACAGATAGTAAACAAATACTAAATTTCATTTTGCCACTGGCAGAAGACCTACAGTTCATGCTTGAGAGAAAGTTTATGTATTAATGCGAGATCATATGTACTATGAATCATATAATGGAAAGGAATGTGTATACACCAGTTTTGCTAATGGCTTTCTTTCTTGTAAGTTATTTGGAGTTCCACACTATGAAGTGCAAAGCATAGCACCAGTTTATGCATTGATCTCAGGATGACATTGCAGTACAGTTTTGTAATAGAAAACTGGCACAAGGCTCACTCATTTGTCTCTAGAGTTGGGCTGATCCCTGCACAAAAGGCCTCTCTGAGGATTTTGCTAATCTGAGGAAAATAGTTACAAGAGCTGGGCATTTCTGGGAGGACCTGGCCCGTACTGGAGGCAACCATGTTAGAGATGTATCGTACTTTCCTGGGTCAGGTGGAATGTATGAGTCATGACTCTAATTTATGACCTTCTGTTCTCTATTCCTTCTGGTCCTGTTCATTGCCATTCTAAGTTATTTTTTCCATCCCTGTTTGTCCTCTTGAATTTTTGGTAAAGAACCCAACTAATTGCCTCTGGATGTATGCATACCTAAATATTCAGATGCTATTTTAGTACCAGCGCAAGAGCTTGCTTATAAATATTTTTGAGTCTCCAGTGGAAGAGTGTGTTTGCTGTATTGCCCTGAAAATGTCAAGCTGAATGAAAGACAATCTATCCTGACTTTCCTGTTCAGCATTACCCTACAGATCTTCTGACATTATGCATGCTTTACCTCTCATGACAGCTGTGAAGCTGAGAGACATTAGATCTGGTACTGAGTAAAGCACAGCACCCTTTAAGCCCTGGAAAGCAGGGCTTCATTGTTTTTCATTGGACAGCCCAGAAAGGACAAAGAGAGCTATCTTGAGAAGGAAACCCTTAGCTGCTTCTGCAACTTCTTTGTAATCAAGAACCTTATAAAATTCTCAGTGTAAGAGGGGAGGGAGCCTTCTGTTCTGGGTAATGTAGCTAGAACTACAAACATAATCTACATATATGATCTGGAATAACATAGCTTGACTTTTTTTTGATAAAAAGTAGCAAATAATGGTTTAATTTAAAAGAAACTTTGTTTAAAAAATCTTTTAAAGTTAAACTTCTGTCCCACACCAATCCATTAGTGAAGAAATATTGTGTGTTTTTTGGATGAGGATACAAATTCACTCCAGATGTTTTCGCCGTCCTGTTATTGTTCATATCAAATCCTGCCAAGTCCAGGTAACTGGCAAGTCCAAACATTATAATTTTTGCTTCCACAAACTTAACATGGTTGTTTTTCACAATCCATTGCTGATAGTACATTTTCCTCCCACTGACCTGTACATTTTAAGATTTTGTCTCTTATAAACCCCTCTTCAGTAACTTTTAGAAACTTCAAACTGCGGGTATCATCTGCTCTACCTGTCCTCCAATCAATCTTCAAGAGCTGCAATTGATCAGAACCTCTGAAAAATGAGGTCTTCAAAATATGTTGACATCCAAATTCCAGCTTTCATCAAGTTGGTACTGACCACATTTCAAAGCAAACCAAAGTTTTTAAGACCATTTTGTTTGGCGTAAGGCTCAGATTTTTGTTAAATAGTTGGGTAACAATGCATCACTAACTCAGGGGCTTTTAGAGCTAACTAAGCTTAGGAAAATCAAAGAGGACATAGGCTTTTAACACAAATTTATTTCAGATCTGGTTGCAATACTAAGAAACGTACAGAAAGGAATTTCATAACATTGTTACATGGCAGCTGTTTTATCTGTGCTTGTAAACATTTATTCTACCACTGTGGAAGGTCGGTATAACGCACAACTCACTTGCATGGATCAAAAAATAAATAACTTTTCAAGCAATTTGATTTCAATCTTTAATGCCTCATAACTTTATTTGTGAGAGGTACTGAGTGCACATAATTCTTGGCACACTTTTTGGATAGTGACACTTCTCAAGAATAGAGCCAGGTGCTGTTCAGCCTAAGCTAGTTTCAGGAGTAAAAATAGCAATCTTTACTTTTTTACTAGTAAAATCACTGTAACAGCAGCAATGTTGTTTGCACAGTTAGAAATAGGTTAAAATGTTGGCAGATACCTTCTTTACTGAAAGCAGGACAAAGGACAGGCATGCATGGAAGCTGATTTCACAGGAACAATGGTGGCAAATATGGCTCTTTATAATTTATTTTAAATTACTCAAAAATAGTGCAAAAACATTTTTGACATATAGAATTATATACTCTGGTAATGAAAATAAAAATACACCTTTCATATTTTTCAGAACATACAAGCAGAATTGCTACAAAACCAAAAAATTAAAGTCATCTCCCCCACCCCGCCATAAATACGTACTAGAATATGTATGATTTTGAATAGTGAGGAGTAAAACTGCATTGTGAAGATTACATTTGCAGAGAATGTTCACAATGGAGATTATTTAGTAGGTAATGAGCCGAATATTTTGCTATAACACAATTCTTTTTCTTGACTTAAAAATTATCCAAGAACTTTTGACTGGTGTCAAAGAATGTTTACATACAGGTATGAAAACATCTAATCATTTGAAGATCAAGACCACATGTTGACAAACTAAACTTCTCGTAAAACTTTTCCTACAAACTAAACTTTTCCTGTAGCGAGAAACTCATTTGTACTGCATCTCTAATATATAATTCCAAAACTAAAGTTAGATCTAAAGATGTTAACATGTTTATGTTTTTCTATTAGTACAAAAAACCTTCACAGTTATGTTCTTTTTATGAAGGTACTGTTTTCAGCTTCGTCTGAAGCAAACTGATTTTAGTTTAGTAGAGTAGTCTAAATGATAGCAAATCTAACAGTCACACTCTAGTGCATGCTTGTTTAGAGTAAGAGCCAGTAAACTCAGTGGGACTTACGTCTGAGCAAATATGCATAGAATTAGAATGTAAAATTTGTGTAGTAATTTGGATCCCTTACAAAATTTATTCTGTTTATTTAAAGATCACAAAGAACTTTACAAAGGACACGAATCGCTGTTACAGATTGGCAGAAGTAAAGCTCAGAAGTGCCAAAACCTGCCCACAGTCTCACAGCAAGCAACTAATAAAGCCGTGTGTGGGACTCAGATCTGTTAATGAGCAGTCTTATATTACCTTCACTGGAGCATGCAGCCTCTGTTAGTTACAGGAAATAACAGCAACAACAACAACAACATGAGTTTTAAAGACCTGTATGAAAATCTGCCAAACTTTAATTTATCTCAGCAGAATAGATATGCCTGCTGAACAGGCTTTTAAAAAGAAATTTCAACAGGTAATGTCACTTATTTGTAGCAGTGTTCAAAAGCTCAAGAGTCCTCTTTCTGCTCCTTGTGGGTAATTTGAAGACATAATTATATAGAATTCATTGAGAGGTGCATCCTCCTACAGACTAACATTCCATACAAACCACTAGAGTTGTCAAATTACAAATACTGAGGTCTTCAACAAAAAAACTGTGCAGTTCCAGTGCCAGTCAATATATATAGCTAATAGATACTTTAAAATCTTTGATTATGATAAACAGATTCTTTTAAAAGCAACCCTTCATAAAAGGTTTACTAGTTTAAAATACACACCTCCATCCTTTCCTGCGAACAGTATATACTAAAACATGAGGTTTCTCACATGAGTGAACTGCAAAACCCGGATTTTTTCTTTTCCTTCACTCATTATGTACAGTTTTCAAGCAGACTGGTGCACTGGCAGAGTTTGTGCATTTCTGTTCAGTTTATGTGCTGATGTTCTGAAAAAGAGGGCCACTCACAAACCACTGCCACTAAGGGATTAAAAGTGAAAATGAAGCATGTAACAAGGTCTCTTATCCCAGCTCAAGAAGCCAATCAAAGAGGCTTGGAGTGAACGCTCTGCTTTCTTCTTGGAGCTTGCAGAATTCTACCACAGCATGAAAGATATCACCCACTTTCCAGGCCTTCTTGTGGACAAGCCGCACAACATCTAGAAACTGGAGGAAATGGATGGGTTTTAGAGATTTTACTAGTTATAGTCTCCCTGTTTCATTTAATAATACTGTATGGGCCGAAGAACTCATACTATTCATATAGTGATTTAATAATTCATCATTCAGATCAGAAACAGACATTAGCGATAGCCCATAATCAGAGCTCAAACCAACTTAATATTGTGAGGAGCTGGTTCAGGCCATTTTACAAAATCACACTGCAAAGGTACCCTATGTTTAAGTTAAAAAACCTATTACTAAACAAAGCAAGCTAATTTGCATCCTCCCAGTGGTGAGGGAAACCCCTGCTGTGACACTCAGACGGTTGTGGTAACTAAGGAGTTTAGTCTTCTCTTTATGAGCTATCTCCATCATCTGTTTCTCACGGCATTGTCTGCAGATTTGCGTGATGACTGAGCTGTCACAACCAACTTTTTGCTAAAATCCTTCTAATACGTTCAACCATCACGTGACAAATAAATATGTCAATCAAGAGTTAGAATATGCATTCATCAAGCAGAATTCAGAGAATGTTCTGATTGAAAATGAAAAGAACCATCAGAATGAGAAAAAGTGAGTTTGATTGAGAATCTGCCTGAAGCATTCAGTTTAGAAAAGATGCCTCTACCCCACTTCCAGGGTTCTCCTCCTCTCTATACCACGTATGCTCTATTCAGCTGGATCTCCTGCCCATCTCTGTTAACATTTTTATGAGGGTGGAGGGGCTGCCATGAAGGACGTCCACCAGGGCCTTTGGCTATTCTGCACACTTTGTGACATGACCATCTGAATTCAGCTGACTGCTTGTCGTGTGAAGCCAAAGGCTTGACACCTTCTCTTAGCTATTACTATAAATTATTGTTGGTTACAAGTGGGGCTGATTAGGGTTAAAGAGGGTCACAAAGCAGAGGCAATTCAGAAGTGTTACTGAATAGGAACTAATCTGCGCAGACACAGATTTAAAAAATGGTTTATCTAATAATTCAAAAGAAAGTATTTCTCAAACCTAATCTTATTTTCAGCTCTTATCAAAGGAGGCAGAATTTTGTATTAATACATGCAGAACAAATAGATCACATTTCTGTAAATCTGTTTCATTTTCCTATCCCAATGGCTACTCTCAAGTCAATTTTTCACCAGACACATTTAACCCATGCAAGGCATTGGTGAATTAGGTTTGCTGTGGAAGTGCAGACAAAGAAATGTTTGGCAATAGCTTAAGCCAGCTGTACAATCCAAGAATGATTAGAGAGGCAGTATACTGTATCTGGAGGGTGCCAGTTTAGGAAAGGCTGATTTAAGCCATCTTGAACTGTGAAATCAAGTGCACTACAAATGGTTTAAGTAGAAGTGAATATATCATGCTACCCTGTTTCCCTGAAAATAAGCCCTAACCTGAAAATAAGCCCTAGTATTTTTCAGGATGCTCGTACTATAAGCCCAACCCAAAAACAAGCCCCAGTTAAGTGAAACCCCGCTCTCCATCGTTGTGCAGCAACCAGAAGATGATGACAGGACTGTATTTGAATAACTGTAGATGGTTGTACATAAGCCCTAATGTGTTTCTGGAGCAAAAATTAATATAAGATCATGTCTTATTTTCAGGGGAACCTGGTATGTACAAGGGTAAGTGGGAATCCTGCTCCCTCATGGCCCCACTGCCTTGTTTCGTACACATCAATGCTTTGTAATGGGAAGGAGGACACAGTGGTGCTGCAACAGGGAAAGTGGGTATCCTGCCAGGGCCTTGCAGAGGAGGCAGTAGAGTGCTGTGTCTGGACAGCAGATCATAAAGTGGACTCTCAAAAAACGGCTCCTCCAGGAACATACTGAGCTGTCATATTGTTTTGTGTTTTCTGAATTAAAACATAAACAACATTTAGGCTGCATTCAGTAACAACTGCCCAAATTTTGTCCGGTTATAGAAACAGCTGTCAGCTTTGCCATTTGCATGAGTAAATAGTTATGCCAATTGCAAAAACACACCAGAGGAGGATGAAACACTTCCTGTCTGCAAGTCTGTCTGCCCTTGGAAATTGCATGCCTAGTTGAACATCTTTAAAATATGTGTTTAAGTTTAGAACACCGTATGTTAATAGGAAATAGTACTGCCAGCTTTGAGGCACAGTATTTCCTCATGCATTTTGTAAATGGAGTGGCAGAGAATGAGAAGCCTAATTAGATACTGATGGTGAAAGTCAAGAAAAATGAAAAAGCTTTGATTTCTATTTCCAAGCCAGAAGAAAAGCTGGGCCTAGATGTGTGATGTGATGAAGCCCATCACCCAGTAAAATTGCAAAGCCGAAAGCAGACAGTATAAAATTATTTTTCCCCAGGTGCTTGAAAACATAAAGAGTAACACCAAGGAAAAATACATCTTTGTAAGGCAGCCAATGTGGGTAGGAGCTAGAGAGCTAGCTGAGGACTGAGATAGAGGATCAAAGCCTTTTACAGTTGTGAGCCTCCCTTGTTGAATGTGGGCCACTCAGATTAGTCTCTCTCTCTCCTCCTGGTCTACTTCACAAGGGTTGGAATAAGGATAAATGAGGACAGAGCTGAGCTCTATAGTTAAGAAACACTGTTCTGAGATCTGATGCAGTGTGGACTGAGACTCGGGAGATCCAGGTTCAGCCCTCCCTGAGCTGTGAAGCTCACTAGGCAAGATATGTACCAAGAAAACATGGCATCATTATTCCCCCATATACTGAAAAAACATACCTTTTCAATTCTGTTTTCCTGAGATTTCTTAAAATAGATTGTGGGAATCCCCAACTCAGACGCAGCAATCCACTGAAGCGTGGCACGCAATTCTGCATCTGGACACTCTGGTTCCAGATCAAAATTGATCACCAAGAGATCCTTTTGCTCATTTGCTGTTGTCACACACAAACCAGAAGTAGGTTCTGAAGAAAGAGTGACATTGTGATTGTCATTTAGTTAAGCCAAATGCTGTAAGCAAACTGAGTTCCCATCAACTGCTTTGTGGTGTTATCGCTTACCTATTGCTTCTTCTGGCTCTTTGTTATGGAATGTGTTTTCTTCTATTATCTCACTTTGGAAACAAAAACAAAGGGGGGAAAGCATTATAAGTAAATTTTTGACACAGCCTGGGATTATTTCATGAAAACTTAAACAGTTTCAGAGAAGCCCTGGCATGTTATAGCCTTAATATAACAGTCAGAGAAACTGGTCTATAAGGCAGAAGAATCTGATCTAAAGGGTGGGAATATAAAACAAGACTTTCTTTGTAGCTGTTCCCAGGCTTTGGAACTCTCTTCCCAAGAAAGATAATCTGGGCACAGTTCCAATGAGTTTCTGCTAATATGCAAATACACATTTTAATCAGACATGCCTTGGTCCAGACTTGTAAACAGATTTGTAACTGGCTTTTAAAAACTGTTTTTATTTATATTTCATTGAAAGCGTGACTAGATGGGGGGATCTGGAGCAATTTGTGTCATGTTTAATAGGTTCTTATCTTCAGTGTGATTTATTTTATCTCACACTTGAGTGATCCTTCTTATCACATGGGAGACGGTTCTTCTCCTGCGAGAAAGATCCAGAAAGCCCTTCTGGCCACTCAAATTGCTCCTCCTTTCGATTACTGATGCCTGCATCCCCTTCCCTAATTTATATTGTGGCTGTCATTTCATGGGCTGCAGTGACTTCTCTTTTTTTTAAAAAAAAAATTAGTAGGTGTCATAGCGCTACAGTAATACATCAACATAGCATAGACACTTCCTTATATCTGAAATAATACTACTTCACTTAGGACAATAATAAAACAAGTTGTGAGAAGAGGAAAATAGAGGATAAGGTTTCTCTGCAATCATTTCTATTGTCACAACCCACTGCATACGTCATGGGGTTATATTTAAAGAGAATCCTGCCCACAGCTGTATTTGGGAGTGACTTAAGTAACCATACATGATGCAGAACAGGATAATCAGCAGCCCTCCCAATCGCATCAAATACTGTAAATTGCAGTCCTAGAGCTGTGCCAGAAAGGGGCAGAAAAGATCGCAAAAGGAGGGTGGGGATGGATTGTTCTTATTTAAAACACATGTGATCACCAGAAAATAGGGCAAACCTGATCTCCCCAATTTGTTTTATATTTGCCACTTTGTGTTTTGTTTATAGATGGGCATGAACCACTACTGGTTTGGTGCAGTCTGTTTCATAGCCAAACAACTGATCCATGGTTTGGTACACTGACCCTCTAGTGGGTATCCACTCAGCAGCAGTGCCCCGAGGCGGTGGGGCAGGTTGCCGAACTCTGGTTCAGCTGTTTGGCTGGGAAATACGCTGAACTGCTAAACCAGCCCATTTCTAGTTCTGTCGTATTTGAGCTCCATTTAGTGGAAGGGAAGGACACAGATTCAACAAATCAGCAGAATGAAGATATGCATCGTTATTTAGACCAGTGGTACCCAACCTTGGGTAATTCAGGTGTTCTTGGACTTCAAGGACCAGAAACCTCAGCCAGCACAGCACAGCCAGCAACAGCCGGTGAAAGCTGTTGCATGCTGCAGTTCAAGAACACCTGAGTTACCCAAGGTTGGGAACCACTGATTTAGAGTAATGGATCTGAGAGTTTATAGCAGGATACTTTAAAGTATCAATTTCAAGGTCCTTTGCAACACTGAAGTGCATGGGGTCTATTAAATTGTAACACTCAGGTCAGTGTCCTGTTGCATTATGTGACTGCAGAAGAGCAACTGGGCTATCATTCATCCCACTTTGGAAGGTTCTTCATACCAGTTTCACAATCAGCTGCACAGGGAGGGTGTTTTCTCATACTGGAGTGGGAGAACACTTGGCTGTTGTCCTTTGACTCTGAATTGTTTACTGGCCTCAGTGGGATGGCAATCAATACAGTGGTGCCCCACATGACAACGATAATCCGTTCCAGGAAAATTGCTGTACAACAAAATCATCGTCATGCAAAAAAAAAAAAAAAAATCCCCATTGGAATGCATTGAAAACCATTTAATGCATTCCAATGGGGAAAATACCTTGTCGTCCAGCGAAGATTGCCCTTAGAAAAACACCAATCAGCTGTTTTAAATCGCTGTCTTGCGAAGCTTCTGTCCGGGAAACACCCATTTTGCGAACGGAAGCCATCTATTTTGCGGAGCCGGAAATATTGTCATTTTGTGAACAAACGGTTCGTGAAGCAAGGACCTAATCAATGTCAAGCGAAAATCCCCCATAGGAAACATCATTTTGCGATCGCTATAGCAATCTCAAAAAAGTCATTGTCCTGCAGTTTCGTCATCTAGCAGGGCACCACTGTACATTACTTTTGATATTTATTTCATAACTAGATAGTTTGCCCTTCCACTCTGTATGAAACTGGAATGGCATTCAGTAGTTCTGAGTCAAAAGACTTCCAAATATATTGCTTATCTTCACATGATAGTTTATTATGAGCAGCACCTAAAAGGTCTGTGATGAGATCTGTTTATAAATCCAGAAGGAATGCTGGGTTCTTTCCTTCTAGAAACATGTATAGTGTTACCCATTAAACCTAGAACAAAATCCAACAGCTAACTCAAGAGCAGGCTTCAACACACCATAGGTGAATTCAGCAGGATAAAAGAAAGCATTCACGTAAATGCAGAAGGGCCTACATAAGCCTACAGAAGTTAAAAATAACTCCAGCCCTACCATTTGGCAGAGTGAGGCAATGCTTCTGGTGCCAAATGCCAGTGATGCACCAGCAACAGCTCTTCAGCTATGCTTCCAGAGCCCCCAGCTATTCTCTGAAACAATAAAGCTGTGTGTGTCACATAGCCTGTTCTGTACCCCCAAAAGTGGCCTGCTGCCCTCAGGGTTGTCAGAGGCTCTATTCCATCACTAGTGTTGAAGAAAGAGTCAACTGCTAGTCCAGTTGGCTTCAATATGTGGAATGGGGTGTGTGCCATCAGATCCTTTGCCACAGAAAACAAAGTGTCTTGGATTAGCCCTTTTTAATATGTATTTCTAGCTTTAACACATACAAGTATAATCAAAGGTATCTGAATGTGGATTTATTGCAATATGCTAAGTTTTTTTTTTTTACCAAGAGGGAACACAACAAAGAAATACTAAAGCAAATGAATAAAGACCAAGAAATCATAAAACACATAAAACGCACCAAGCTAGAATACCTCAACCAAGTAATTGGAAACGGAAAGTACAGCTGATCATTCAAGGTAAAATGGATGGGAAATGAAATGCAGGAAGAACTTGACTGAAGGAAATTGGAAACTGATTAAGATACAACACATCATCGTTGTTTAGAATTGCTTCATGCAGTATTGCAACAGCGATGATGGTGTCCAGACTTCAGCTGCCAAGGAACAGGCAGATTCCAAGCTTATCAAATGGGTTTCAATCTCATAGCACCCAGAAAGGCTTTTTGGTTGTTACCTTTTCTGGAACACTAAGATGTCTCTTTGTTACTACACAGGCATGCTGCTTGGACATGCTCCTGGATTCACCAGGTTTCATCGGTGGCCAGTACATTTTAGTGTGCCAGCAACACCTGGAGAGCTCTGATTTGGCCATGGTGACGCATGCCTTAGTTACATCCCAGATGGATTACTGTACATATGTTCTATGTGGGTCTGCTTCTGGAAAGTGTCCAGAAAATTCAGCAGGTCCAAAAGGCAGCAGCCAGATTGCTAACTGGGGCTGGTTATAACCCCCTGTTATAGCAGCTCTACGGGCTGCCAATCTGTTTACGGGCACTATTCAAAGTGCTGGTGCTAAACTAAAAGCTTTAAATGGCTTGGATTGAAGCCACTTCAAGGACCACATTTCCCTTTATGAGCCTCATTGGGTGTTGAGAACACCAGGAGAGCCCTTTCTCATCCCCACCAGCTCCACAGGTGTGTTTGGTGGGGACACGGGAAAGGTATTTCTTTCTTGCTGCCCCCAGACTGTGGAACTCCCTCCCACAGGAGGCCAGTCTGTTCTTTTGCAAGCAAACCTTTCTCTTCAAACAAGCTTTACCTGAGTGACTGACTGGCTACCTCACTGTGCTTTTTAAATGTCGTGCCTTACTGCTTTGAATACTTATTTTAAAGTGTTGCTTCTGTCCAGGTGTGTTTGGTGGGGACACGGGAAAGGGCTTTCTTTCTTGCTGCTCCCAGACTGTTTTAAACAAACCAAATTTCCTTGACCTCCCTAGTCTGTGCTTTTGCAAGCAAACCTTTCTCTTCAAACAAGCTTTACCTGAGTGACTGACTGGCTACCTCACTGTGCTTTTTAAATGTCGTGCCTTACTGCTTTGAATACTTATTTTAAAGTGTTGCTTCTGTCTACCATTTTTAGTGTGGTATTTGTTTGATCTTTAGTAGTGTTTGTATGCTTATTGTTTTTAGCTTTAAATATTGTCTTTTTAATGATATAAGCCACCTTGGGTCCTTTTGAAAAAGGAAGGCGAGATAAGAATATTTTAAACAAACTAAATTTCCTTGACCTCCCTAAGAATATTAAGAAAAGAACAGAAATTCATTCTCCCAGGCTGCATGATGGGTGATGGTAAATAACTTTTCCAGGGTCTGGATTGGAATGTAATGCCTTCTGTCTAGAAGCCATGCACTGTAACACAGAGTGAATGGCTTTGTGACTAAAGGAATGAAAGGGAGCACAATGATCTCAGCTATGGGCCTGAAGATTAACAGCCACTGGGAGGCAACATCCCCAACATGGAAGGCAGAGGAGCTCCCCCATCCCTGAGGATAAAGAACAATCAAATTGTCTCTTGACTTCATCCATCAGGCAACAGCTTACAAGCGGTTGGTTTATGTGTCCGTGGATTGGGGTGTGTGTTGCATTATTATAGGCTTCTGTAAGTAAGTGATGGCTCTATGGAAAAAAGGACAAGGTGTTTTTACTTTTACTAGTTGTACAGCAATGATCAGCTGAACTTGTAATAAAAGTTGTCTATTTGATAGCTGTCTTTAACAGTTCTGTGGCAAGCTAGATGTGACATTCTGTCTTCTGCACAATCTTTAAAGATACAGGACCTCCTTCTTCTATCCTGAGAATCATTTCTTTCAAATGTGGGATAAAAATCTTCAAAATAAATAAGTGTGCTGCTTTGACGGGTCTTTTCTTGCTGCTTACATCATACAGAACAAGCAGTACTTGCTGTTAACCATGATAACTGAAATCTATATTGCTGGTTTACAACACTGCAAAGGGACCTGGGGTGGGGAAATTCCCATGAAGTCTTGAGTTTGCATCCATGTATTCAATACACGATGCAAGGTCAAATTCATTTTACTACGCTTACCATAAAAAGAAGTAAAGTGGGTATTGTTTATTATCCATTAAATGAGGGCTACTCATCCTGGAACAGCCTAACTATACATTTGTACTGTCAATGGAGAGACTCACAAGGCACTTAAGATAGCAGCTGGAAAGCGGAAGGACAAACAATGAAAGCTTGGCAAGTCATTTGGCACATTCTACATGATGAGAATGATTTTTCAGCGGAAATGGAACAGCACTTTTTAAGATCAGATGTCACCTTAACAGCTACTTACTGAATTGTACGAGAAGATGGCATGTTTTCCTGATAAATGTCCAGGTCCATTATGCCAAGACTGCTAGTAGTACTGCTGTTGCCATTGCTGACGATGCAAAAATTTGAATATTAATGCCAGTCTGCACCAGCATGTGACTGAACACATTGTTAATAAAGAGTGGCAGATCGAACGGCTGATTTTCTTCCTCTCAGAAGGAAGGCATGCACCATTCTTGTCTGACTCCACAAATCATGAACAGCAAAACAAAAGATGTGGACATACAGAATTAAAAAATACATGATGGTAACACATCCTATGAGGTTTTGAACTGGCAAAGAACCAAACCTGTTATTTGTTTGACATGGCAAAATGAAGACATCATTTTAACTCATGGTCTTACATAACAAGAAATGCTATGTAAGGACTAGTTACATGCATCAAGCTTAATTGATGTCTCATTACTCAACACTAGGAGCACATGTATGAACTGCATCCACTGAAAAGTTTTCTCTTTTAAATGTGTTCTTTGAATTTTGATGTTGCAGCCATCAAAAAGCTACAATTTTTAAAAAATAAAATATATCCTAAGTCTTACCATACAGAAATAGAGATGTCTCTGAAAATGTGTGCAGGGTAGGGATAAACTGAGGTGTTTCAGTGCTTTCCTGTCTGATATTACTTAGAGGTAAGAAATATTTCCAGCCCAACACAAAGATTTCTTTATGTGCTGTAAACCATACCACATAAACATCAAAAACAACCATGGGCTCTAAATATGGATTATTAATTTATGTAGAACTTTTTGGACCTACTAAGAATGAGATCTCAACTATTAACTATTGTTTACATTGAGAGCAAACTCTTTTAGTGGCTATTTTGTTTAGGGTGCAGTAAATAACATTAATCTGAGCAATGGGACATATTGTTTTAAAGTAGACTGATTTCTTCATGGTTATTACTCATTAGAGTCTGAGCAGTTCAAGTGAACTCAGCCAAATGGATTTACATGGACCTACAGCTCTCATCTTCAAAATGTGCTGTTGGTGTTCACAGTCACTTATTAAGAAAGAACAATACTATAATGCAGAAAAAAAGTCTTAAAATAGTAATTTGTCTTCCAGCACTTCTTTTTCAATTATGCTTACTACTAGAGGACAAGATCTTAATAAATTGTGTTAAGATATAAGTGATCTAAACAACAATTGCAGTAATTCTGTCTTTAAAGCAGAACAGGCGAAATGAGCCATGATTGAATCTAATTAGCTTGTCCGTTGGGGTTTTACTTGCAAGGACAGGAACTACTTAAGATTGGACTAAAGTTTCTTCAGAGTTTCCCAATACCTAATGGGGTCTCCTGCAGCAGTATGTGAAAGCGAGATCACGGTTGGATACACTCTCTTGACATTCATACTGGGAAAATGGCAATCATAATGATTATTGGATGATTATGCACCTCACAGCTCAAAGGGCACATGGTTACCTCATAGATCTCTCACTGAGCTGCAAATAGCTGCTAGTATCATCAGGGTTGTCTTCGTCATTTACCAGCTGACACCAGCTGCTACCTGTGCTTTCATCACTGCTGCTGAGAGGGACTGAAGACTCTTCCGCTGCTTTGGCCTCTGCAGAGGCTTCAGATTCAGAGCCCCTGCATGCAGTCAAGCTGATCAGGAAAAGAAGGAAAAGAAGATGTTCTGAATAATGTAGGGAAGAATTATTGCCTTTAAACCAGGAGTGGGCAAAGTGGACCACCTCAGATGTTGGAGGACGGCATCTCCCAGCATTCCTCACCTTTGACTATCCTGGCTAGGAATGATGGGAGTTGCAGTCCAACAGCATCTTAATGAACCATGCTTTGTGTACTCTTTCGCTCTAAGCACTATTGCACAGGTGAACCAGATGATACTGGGCATGTGTGTGAAGACATTTCTTACAGTTAAAGAAAAGTGTGCCCCTGTACACATTGTGAGTAAAGGAATTTGTTTTCAGTAGTAGAAATGAATTGAGTTTACATTTCATTTGCATAAAAGTCAATTCCTGGTTACCAGGAGCTCCTGATTTAGCTGGAATGTTATTTTGTTGTTACTCTGCTAAACAACAAAAAGTAAGAATTCCTTGTCAATCTACTACAAATCACCTAGAAATCTCCCATTAGATCCAGATCTACCTTCAGCTCACCTGGTATACAGTATATCTGTGAAAAAAGAAACCCTGTTGAGTGTAGCTCATTTTCAGGTGAAAGCACAGGGCTATATTTGCCCAAGTAAAGTGGGCCCATTGAATGAATGGAACCTGTCAATACATGCAAATGTCACTGCTTCAGTGGAGCATCTCAAGTTGGGATGAACAACTGGATTTAGACTTTATAGTATTTCAGACATAGACACATGCACTCATAGTCCATGCACCGTTCAAAACACATTTGCCATACATGCAGTGGTAAAAGGCTATGACTGTTTATATACAATCGTTTTTGCTGTTCTAAGGCTTATAGTCCAAAAAAGTAATATTTCAATGCCAATGTGGTTGCACATGCACACATGTGCCTGTCTGGCTTTTTTTAAAATTTTGTTTTGGATGTCCCATCCTATGTGGGAGAATTCATTCCATCCATCCATCCATCCATCCATCCATCCATCCATCCATCCATCCATCCATCCATCCATCCATCCATCCATCCACCATCCATCCATCCATCGTTACTCTGGACAGTTCACAATGTAATCCATCCATCCATCCATCCATCCATCCATCCATCCATCCATCCATCCATCCCTCCCACCTATCTGGCCCAAGGCCACTCTGTGAGACTGTATAAATACATCACAAACAGGGCCCCTCAGTCTTTAATCTGGCAATGAATCTTACCTGTTCACTAATGAAACTGGCTCCGTTCCTGTATATACCACTGTAGGTTTGTCTTTGTTTAGATACTCCATATTTTTTTCAGAGGCAATATTAACTTCAGTTATAGTCTCTGAGCCTTTATCAAGATCTTCTCTTTGTTCTGCTTCTATCTGAATTAAAGGCACTTTTCTTAGGCATGCAGAAGGGTTTGTACAGTTTATAGGAAACAACCCAGGGGATTCTGTCGGTTGTTTTTCCACATTCAAATCTATTCCGTGATCTATTGGTTTACAGTTATTTTGTTTCCCCATTAGTATATGGCTACTTTCTGAGGCAGGATCTCTGTCTGTAGAATCTTGATGGGTAGCAATTAATGTTTTACCACTTTCCACAATATTGGCAGCTAGCCTGTTTGCATACAGTTGAACATGTGGTGGGGAGTCATGAGGCTGCAGATCTGGCTCTGGAACTTCCCCATCATCTACTATTATTTTGTTCTTACACATTAGTGCTTTGATGGAGTTTGACCATGTCTCATGAATCAGCATGTCTGTTATCTGATCAGTCTGACATCGTTGATACAGGTAAGAGTCTGATTTGCAAAGCCCTGAGGAGGACACTGTGCTGATAGGTTGTACAGTGAGAGAATCGCGATGGCCATTGCGAGAAAAGCCATCTAATGAATTTGCTTTGATGGGCACATTCACTGATAACCTAGATGATGAGGATCTGCTATCAGGCATTGAAGACTGCCTAAAACAAAGTGGCGATCGTTGGGAAGGGTGTAATAAATTGCTGTTCCAATCTTTTATACTCCTAGCAGAATACATGTTTTCTTTATTTTCTTTTTCAATTTCCCTCAGCATATATTTGTAAAACTCTTCTGTTATACTTTCAGTGCTGGACTGTTTGGATGGACAATTTGGCCTCACACTGAGGTGGCTATTTTTCTTGGCAACCTGCTGTATTGCTGATGTTAAGATGTTACTTGCATTTTTCCCAGCATAGTAGTCAAGCAATAAATCAAACCCTCTGCCTTCGTTCTCCATCTGATTGACCATAAATCTTGAAAACTCATCTGTAATGCTTTCGCAACTAGACTGCTTAGAGACAGAACTAGTCCTGCTCATGGGCTGCCCTAAAGTGTTCATAAGGCCCAAAGTATTTGCAGACCCTTTTGAATCTGCATCTTCCTCAGGAATGCTCTCACAGCTGGATGCATTGACTCTGTTCCATCTGTCACAGTGTAGTCTATTACGAGGATGGTTTGGACTCTGCCAGACATTATCAGTCACAGACAGTTCAGCCAAGGTCATAATTTTAGCAGCTACTTCACTGCCAAAACTATTGCTTGAATCCAGTGTGTCATCAAGGTTAATAGATTCATCCATTACCCTATTCATGAGCCTTTCCTTTAATTCAGGATGCTCATCGGTTTTTTTCTTGATCTCACTAAGCCTAGGTGGCCTGTGCTTCCGCATAGCTGGCCCATTAGATGATGCTTCTTTCTTCCTCTTGATCGTTCGACATGTCAAAGCTTGGGGCATCAGATATTCGCTTCCTCTCTTCCATGCACAGAACCATGGTTGCTTGCCATTTGAATTGTCAAGGCAAATGGCAGCTATTTCTGTTGCCATAGAGACCACTGTCTCTGCCAATTCCTCTGCAAAATCTGTTATGCAGTATTTATCTGCTGGGTGCTTCAATTGTGGCAGAGGCTGGGAAGGCAGAAAACCTTGATTATCCAATAATAATACTGCGTGTTGAGCTTCATTTTGCCACAATGCATCACACGTATGCTTTTCTTCACTTTCTGTACTTACTTCCACAGTGGAAGATTGAAGTTCTTGAAGGCCAGGCCTACAATCACTGTTTGACACCATATTGTCTTTGCTAGTAAACGTGTGGGCTTCTTTTTTGGTTTGATTACTGCTACTGGGATTTATGCATTTATAACACTCCTGTGCAGTTCGTTTCAAATATCTTTTCTGCATAGAGGCTTTTCCAGTGGGTGAACTATGAGGATTGAGTCTAGCTAGTGAATCTGCATCAAGTGTACCAGATTCCAGGGTGTCTGACACAACTTCCTGTTTGACAACTTTCACAGAATCTGTTTCAGACACGACCTCTTTATTGGGGCAGGTGCCAGAGAAGGCACTAAAAGATTTATTACTGGAGTAGTTGGAGAATTGTTGTAACAAATCATTTGCTGTGTCTTTTGGTTGGCTTTCCATTACCTGATCACTAAAATTACTTTCAGCACAAGTATCTGAACATTCACTAAGCTGTGCAATGTCACCCATTTTCTTACAAGTGAAGTACAGTATATTAAAAAGCAGTTTATTTACAGTGGCAACAAAAATATCTTGGGTATTAAAATCTATGCTTTTTTTGGAATTTGTGTTTAGCTGCTTCTTCCTGACTTCTTGCGCTGAGTGCCTGAGAATAACACTGGACAGGTTCTTGGCAAGGTCATCAACGATTACTTCCTCCAAATGGGGAAGTGAAGGCTTTGTCACAGCCTGAACTATTTCCCCATTTACAGATTCCATAAAATCCCCAATACTTCTGTATGTTTCAGGTTTTGTTAACACTAAAGATGCCTCTTTGAACAACACTTGTGCAATGCTATCGTTCAGGTTCTCCATGCTGCTTCCTATTGCTATGCTACAGTGAAGTGTAATGGCGGCTGATGTCTCAGCGGCAGATAAAAGTCCACTTGAAGTTACAGGGTACTTGTCATCTTTCCCTTCACTGAGACCACAAACAGCAACAGCACTTGCAACTTGGGCCATGCCACACAGAGCCGACGGAAATGAATAATTCACAGATGTATAAGATTCAGCATTTGGGGAAGATATCCCCTCCAACTCTTCTTTATCCAGCACAACAGTTTTAGAGTTTATGGATTCCTGCTCTCTTTTCAGTTTCTCTGTGACATGTGGACTTGAAATGGTACCAATAACTGTAGCTGCACAAGCCAGGGCAACTTCTAAAGCACTTTCAGTGCCTCCATTGCAGCTGTTATTTTGTAACCAATCTACAACTTCAGCAGAACGTTCAGCTTCAGATGAAGAACATCCATTGGGAAGACCAGACCCAGACCATTCAGATGAATTGTCAGAACCATCTGGACTTTGAACGATAACAATTCTGGGGAGTTCATTCCATGATGGGGAAGTCGTGATGTCCTGTGTCACATGCGCAGCTGAACTTAAGGCATTACCACCAACAGAGATGCTGACTGCAGCCTCTTTTGTAAAAGCAGACTGAGATAATCTAATGAAGGCATCTTGCAGGACAGATTCTGCCAAATTCGTAGCAAATTCACCGGCAGTGGCCTGTTCATTTTGTATGAGAACATGAGGTGTTATTTCACCACTACAATTGGATGTGACCAAAGGACTGCTCTGATTTGCTGTTGTATCATCCAAAGAAACAATTTCCTCCTGAGCCATTATGGTCAGAGTTGCATTTTCTGAAACATCAGAAGCATCTTTCAGGTGATCTGTATTACTGGAAGTCTTAGATTTTCCAGCTAAACCAGGCTTCCAGTGAATGGCCTTATCTGTAGTTTGTGAAACACCATCTTCGTCCTCACCATTATCGTCTTCTTCAGATGAGCTTGATATTCTAGCAGGAACTGTGCTATCTTTGTTAGTGCAATCAGCTTCCAGGGTAGATGCCAATCTGTCCTTTTTGTAAAGTGGGTTTTCAAGTCCTTTCCCTCTGTACTTTGTGGATTCTGCTGCAAATTCTGTGACAATTAGTTTTTCCTGACCTGGAAAAAGATAAACAATACAACTAGCCATGATTTCTGTAACAGTGCATGCGTCAAACCATCATGAAAGGCATAACCACTATGGGCAATCAAGATGTGTTTGTCTCATGAGCGATTATATTTAACAGCATGCAGAATGTTTTTATTCTCTTGTTGTACTGCTGTCTAGGCATAATTAAAAGGTATGTACTCATTAACATCAAATACAGTTTGTATGAATATTTTGCCCTATGAATGTACAAGACTACTACAAATTCACACATGATTGCCCAGATATTACCATTTTTGTATTCATCAGCCTCATTCTCCTCTTCAAAATGTTCAGATGCTGTTAGAAAATCTTCCTCTATTGAGGACACTGAGCAATTAGTATCGTCCTCAGGCTTTAGGATGCTGGCCTCTGTGTGTAGCTCCTTCTCCTGCACGAGCTCCAGCCCAATCAGAAACTTGTTTATTTCAAAGATGATGCAGTTTGTGCTGTTTTTTCTGTTTCCTCTTGCACACTGAACCAGACAGACATCTGCCAGCCAAGAACACTGGTGGAGAGGGAACCAGCCAAAGCATTATGCAGTTAAAATGAAGAATATGAAAATCAAAATATTCTAATCTCTGTCATGCATTTTCTGCAATAAAATCTATTTGTTAAATTTCAGAATGGAACATATTATGTTTAAGACAACAATGCTAAACATATTTACTTGGAAGCAATCCCCATTGAACTCAGTGGAACATACCTTGTAGTAAACATGGATAGGCTTGTATAGATTGTAAACATGCATAGAGTACACTGTAATTATGCATTGTAATTATGCAAATAGTACAAACATAGTAAACAAGCAGGCTCTGTAAGATGCATAAGGCATGGCAAACATGAATGTCCTCAGGAACATTTTGAACTAGCACTATCTCGGAATCATGTTCCCTGATCCTCAGACTTTTGGGTGCATAGCAGAGAATGTGGAGAATCCTGGGCAGAACACAATTATCCCTCTGTCTTTAACTAATAGGATGAGTTCTTAGCAGAACCTTCATCTCCTCAGTGGCACAGAAGCCTAATACTGTATATGGCAAACTCAAGCAAAAGTCCTTTAATGGTCCAATCAGAGGCAAGAGGTCTTGTAATGCTCCCTATGGCTCCATTGAATGCCAGCTTGCTCCTGAGAATACCACTCCTATAGTCTTCTTACCTATAGAGACTTCAGCCAGCATAACCCTCTTGGAACTATCCAGGGTACTCTTTCTTTCTCATAAAATAGTTTCTGCCTTCAGTTTGCTGTCATGGTTTTTACCAACGTTGAGTTAATTTCGCCTGTTTCATCTGACCTTGCCTAATGCAACTTGATTTTTTACTTGACTGAACTTTAGCTGTCTTAATCTGACTCCTCCAGACTTATTCCCTTGATGAGTCTGAAGCACCCTCAGAACAGGATACTTCTCTGCAGAACCAGCTAAATTCACCTCTGATAAGCCCATAATCCAAACTAAAGCTAGTCATGATAAAGTCTTGTCGAAGGCAATGGAATATGACTTCAGTGCTTTCCATGGAAACTAACTGCTCAGCTTTTACTGGATGATAATCCATACCTTATCTACGCTTCAACATGTCCTTATTAGATTCAGAGCCCTAAAAAGCAATTTCAGCCTCTGGCTCTGACAATGCAGTATTCTACACATCTACTCAGAACTAGGCCCCACTGAGTTCATTTGAGACTCACACTGCAAGTCTATCCATGCTGTGAATCCCAGAGCAGCATGAATAGGATTACTGCAGGCTTACTCTTTCAATACACAAGGACCTCTGCATAACAGGCAGATGCACTCCTCTGTATATGCTGCATTGTTGCTTTTATAACACATGGAATACAAGGTAAAGTGCTGAGGATCAATTTAAAGTTCATACCTGGGGTAGCTCAAAATCAGTGTGGAGGTTCCCCGATGTTAATCCACTCAGCAGAATGATTTCATTCTCCTTTGGTGGCTGTACATTCATAGAGCTGATAAGCTTTGGGAGGTTTGGGGAGATGCCAATCAATCTCTGCAGTACATGAAACACAAATGTGATGCACCCCATCATTTTTAATCCAGTCACGCTGCCAGGCATATAATCAAAGCAATTTCTGGCATGTCCTCAAGTATTATTTGAAAAGGAAAGCCACATCAGGGCTTGACAAAAGCAAGCCTGAAAATGGAGCTCTTAGCAAGTGGTAGATGAGTACATAGCCCAGGCTGAATGGGTATTTCTGGCTCTTTGTCTACTTATTATTCTGGCTTTTTATGTTTCAATTGAGTGGCTAAACAACTTGGTCTGCAGTAAAAGTATTAGACTACAATACACCAAACCCAGGGCCAATTGTCTGGGATTATGGGAACTGTAGTTCCTAACATCTGGATGACACCAGTTGTCTACTCCTTCTCTGGTTTATATTAGAAACACAACCTTTATCTACATATTGATTAATATGTGGAGGAAAGTGGTGCTGGGCTTACTAGTACATCTCCCAGTGTTGCTGTCCTCATCACCCACACGGAAAGTATTTACCTTTGTTTCAGTTCTTACCCTTACATTTTAAGGGTAAGTAAACTATTTGGCTACCCAGCATACATTGCTCTGTTGCACCGTGAAAATGTTCTTGAACCCAATAGGCCAAGTTTTAATGTCATTCATTCCCCTCAATTAAAAAAATATAGAATAAAGACTATTTTTAATATTAGAAACATACCTGCAGTATCCTAAAGACTAATGCAATGATGATGAGACCAGTTTTTAATGGTCCATAGTTAATTACATAGGATACATTAGTCATCAATATCAATAAACAGAATTTAAGGAAAACATTCTGGACAAATGTATATGAAAGGAAACCTTTAAAAGTGCAATGAGCTACAAAAATGTTAGGATTTGGGGAGAACTATAGAAATAACAAAAGATCTAAAATATGTTTAGCCTACATAAAAGAAGTTTAAGTAGAGAAACGCTTACAGTGTTCAAATATTTAAAAGGATACCAAAAGAAAAGAACGTATATATTCACTTGTATTCCCAAAGGATTAGAAAAGAAGTAAGATTAAATAGCTGAAAGAGAGCTTTAACCAAATTATCAGGAAAAGCTTTAACTATAAAAATAGTCAAGCTTTGGAACACATCTGGAAGTCTGTGGGATCTCTTTCCTTCATGTTTGCCAAGAAAATTCTGGACAGTTCAGGAGATTCCTCATGGGAAAAAAAATATTCCATGATGGGTGGAACCCTCCTTTCTCCCACATTGGGTAAGACAGAAGAGGATGATATTGCTCAGGGCCTCTTTTGTCATAACTTTACTGTGTGCTGTTTTCATTCACCATTTCGTCATCTATATTTTATACCTCAAAGCCCTATCCACTGTCTAGAGAGTGGGTAATGGGTGGCCAAAAAGCATAATCAGTCCCTGTAGAACAACAAGGCAAGCTCTGTAAAAGTAGAGAATGATGGCACTTCCCTTTTAGGAGCTTCTAATGCTTGGAGGGAGGTAGTTTTAGATGCGGAGGCCTCAAAGAGGCACAGTGGTATGCTAGCCTCTTCACAGCTGCCAACGAGTCCAGTATCTTTCCTTTGTTTTTCTTCCAGTTCACTGGACATATGGGGGCAGAGGCACAAAGGCTGTGCACCCAAGCTGCTTCTTGTTGCACTGACCTAGTCAGCTTGATGGGGTTACAGTACAGAAAACTACAAGCTTTGGGATGCCGTTGGATTTAGATTATATTAGACTTGGAGACTGGAGCTGTTTTCTTTCATCTGTGACCATAACTCACCTTTGCTGGAAGTGTCCTTGTGAATGCCTCAAACCTCAAATAGGCTTGCAGGCAACACAGAATGGGATCCGAGTTTGTATGAGCCAGTATGGATGCTACATACAGTTGGAATTATTTTCAACCTTGTATGTTGCCTTTAACAGGTTTTGCTGGGAGGAACCTTTCTGGGCTGGGTTGATGGTCAATCAATCCAACAGCAACCAATTGTTCCCTCTCTGCCTCTGATTCTGAAGACAGAGACACCTCACTACATTAGTACATTTTCCCCTCCTTTTCTCTCTGTGTCCATGAGAGTCAAAGTTGGTGTGGAGTTATGAGTCTGTTAAGGTCTTCCTGTAACTCAGTGGTTCCAAAACAGTGTGCCATGGTTCCGTGGGGCATCGGGAAACCAATCCAGGGTGCCACGGAATCCTCTACCCTCCCTCAAAGACTACTATAGCACTATTCGCTGTTTCTCTGGTGTCCCTGCATGGGGCAGATAAGGAACCCTGGCCCAGTCTTGCTGAAGAACTGTGTTTACTGCTTCCTATTTGCAAGGGAGCATTCTGTCCCAGCCCCGCCCCCCAGCAAAAAATGCAGCTTTGTCCCCCCACCCTCAACTCCTTCTCTCGGAGGAATCAGGCCATTATGGCATTTTCTTTAAGCTACCTGTATATACTTTAGCTTAGTCTCTGGTTCCATCTAGTGGCCAGTCCTAGTAATAAACCTTGAATGATGATGATGATTTCAGGCAGTGGATAAGTGAAACTGCAGGCAATGATCCTATGGATACAACAGTTCTACTGTTCTGAAGAGCCACAGCCAGTGGTCAGTAAGTCAAGGGGGTCACAAGTCTAAAAAACTTGGGAACCAGTGCTGTAACCAGTCAAATGTTCTACAATATGCTGCTTTTGATCTATTCAGAACTGTTCAGAACTGTGAATAAATGGAAACTTTAACTCTTTCTCTTGCAAATGTCTCAGAGTGAGTTACTGAGACTGCAGGTTGATGAGAGTAAATGGGTGGTCTCCTCTGGGGAGACTTGAAGCTAATTCTGCTCTGTAGGTCACTGCACTATCTGCTGTTCAGCTAGAGATTTTTAACACTGCCAAGAAGTTTCCTTATGGATTGTTGCTGTAATTTCAGTTATCAACATGTCCTTTCCCCTTTTTTCAGATCTAAAAAGCAGTTCAGACATCTCTTCAACCTTCTGCTTTCTTTCTTGCAGCTATGTTTGTATTGTGCATGTATTAACAGAACACTTGCCTGTTTCATGAGCTCATCATTGCAGTCATCTTTATGTGCATCCAGATTCACAAAACAAACCTGCAATTAGAGGGAGCGAGAGAAAGGAAAAAAGGTAAAGACCAGATAGACTCTGAAGATTCCCTGAAAAATCTGTGCAAACTGTTGGGAGGTAAAGAGAATTATATTTTTCTCAAGTCATCATGCGGTATGCTAGCTTCTGCCTTGAAAGAGAATAATGTCATAGGTAAGCAGTATAGAAATGTATAAAAATAAGAAAATTATAATCTTTGAACATAGAAAACTGCCCACTCAAGACTGTCATCCACTCCAGTATCTTCTACTCTGACTTGCAAAAATTCTCCATGGATTAAGGAGGAAGTCTTCTACATCACTTACCAGACAATATGTCTATACAGATGTGCTAGGTATTTATTCTGATGCTTCTGCATGCAATGGATTTTCTCTAGCACCAAGCTATCTTCCCCTACTCTTTTGCTTTCACACAAGATGGCTGGCTTAGAGCCTTGAAAAGTTATACCTTTGATCTACAAAGAAAATTTTTTTCAAAGTTCTGAGCTAGTCTAAAGACATCATGAATGCATAAGGAGGACCCCTGTCCGTAGACATTCTTCAAAGATTCATGAATAATGGCTTTCATTTCTGAACTGGCTACCAGTATTCAAGTGAACTGGCTACTAGTATTCAAGTTAAGTGACCACTTGGCTCTTTATGAGTGTAAGTTGCCACTGAGAAAACCTTTCAGAAACTCCAAAACTTGTGCAATTTCCTCAGTTCAAACAGAAAGTTATTCCATTCTATTTTTTGTTGTGCAGGATCTGGACTTTGCAGGATGTTGTCTTATATTTTACCCTAAATAGTTATTGCAGTGCTATGACAATCTATACTATACTAACACGGAAAGCATATCTTTTCTTTTCACCTTCCTTTTCTTGGAAACCACTAGAGCAGTAGTCTCCAACCTTGGGCCTCCAGATGTTCTTGGACTACAACTCCCAGAAGTCTTCACCACCACCTCTGCTAGCAAAGATTTCTGGGAGTTGTAGTCCAAGAACATCTGGAGGCCCAAGGTTGGGGACCACTGCACTAGAGCACCTTTCTCTTCCCCTTGTTAAATATTCTACATTCACTCATTTGTAGGTCACTGTTTTCCTCGTCCGTCCCCCCACAAGCCAGTGTACTTAACTTACAGTGATCCTTGTTCTTCCCAACCTCTTTATAAACAAATACTGCAATGTTTTAAACCACTGGTTCTTAACCTTGGGTTACTCAGGAGTTTTGGACTGCAACTCCCAGAAGCCTTCACCACCAACTGTGCTAGTTGGGGTTTCTGGGAGTTGCAGTTCAAAAACATCCGAGTAACAAAGGTTAAGAACCACTGTTTTAAACAAATGTTTTCTATTTGCTTGCTTCAAAACTCATGGACCTCTCAGGGATGCCACATCTCCATACAGTGAACAATTAAACGGCTTCTTACCAGCTTCTCAATAACAAAACTTCCAAACTACTTCACCCATACAGGTGGACCACTAGATCTTTCCAGACAAGAAAGGACTTTCCCTTGCCACAATGCCTGATCTGAGCTTTCATTTCTCTCTCTCTCTCTCTCTCTCTCTCTTTCTAGATCTAGGTACAAGTCCCACTGAACCAAGAAACGTACCAAGTAACCTTCCTTCAGCCTCACCTAACCCACAGGGTTGTTGAGAAGATAAAGTGGGAGGGAAGAGAACCCGGTATGCCACCTTACTGAAAGAAGGGTGGAACAGAAATGTCATGAATAATTACAATAAGATCATCATCAACCATGTTGTAAGCCACCCAGAGACCTTTGGGTAGTGTGGGTGGCATATAAATTAAATAAATAATAATAAATAATAATAACCATAGTCTTATTTTTCAGATCTGGCTTGCTCTATAGTCCTTCCTCTCAATAGCCGGTCCTGACCCTAAGTGCTTTTTAATTCCATCTCCTGTATTATCTTATGCGTCCTCAGTCTGCTGCCCTTGACTCAGCCTTGATCATCTTCTTGAATTTGGCTAGTCAAGGCTCATAAACCCCTTTAAGAAGGCCCTTGCTCTACCCTTTTTCAGGAGAATAGCTATACTTGTGATATGAGCCAGATTTAAACAAATTGCTGTATTAGATCCCTGCAACACTTATGAAAATGGAGAAGAGAGAAGAGTAATTTGCCGCTCAGCAATACACAAAATAAAACCGAACAGCTGTATAGCTCAGTGGTTTAGGAATCTGGATGTGGATACAGAAATTGGAAGTTCGATTCCCCACTGTGCTTCCTTGACTAGGGCTGGACTCAATCATCCATAGGGTCCCTTTCAGCTCTGCAATTCTAATAGTAAAATGAATAATTATTTCAAATAACAAGTTTGACTATGTAATGGATAGATAGGAGACATTAAGAGCTTGATGAAGCTGATTTTTAAAAAATCTAATAAGCATGGAAAACTAATAGTTAAATTTAACAATTCAACTATTAGATTTTTTTAAAAAATCTAATAAGGTGGACGACTAATAGTTAAATTTCAGTGACATGGCAAAAGACTGAGTTATCTTGCTTCCCTGGAGGCAAGGTGTGCACACATACAGGCATTTATGGACATATAGGAGGAGGGAAGCTATTACCTTGGGAGAGCAGGTTCTTGGGGACAGACCATCTGCTGTTCACTATGCTATTCTTCCTTGTTGGAGTACAAACTGTATCCGTCACTCACCCAGTTCATGATTCCCTAAAATAGGCTGCTTGTCAGGTACAGCACAGAATGCAGTGCTATCATTAATGTTGAAATAAGATTCCACTGCCAATCCATTTTAATCTCCGTATATGGAATGGGAAGTATGTGTCTTGCTCTCCTTTGCCTCAGGCTGCAAAATATCATGGGACTGCCCTAGGCATACAGAATGTGATAAAGGTTCCTTGCAGAAGTCAGACAGAATCCCCCTCTCTCTGCCACCACAACACTGTACAAACCTATGGCTGCCACAGAGCCAGGTACACTACCTATAAAAGCAAGTTTGGTTATTCTGCGTAAGGTGACATGCCAAGCTGCTTGACACTTGTGAGGGCCGTGAAGAAGGGAATTCTTGTGTCAGCTGATGCAGAAGGCCTCTTTGTCTGAGATAAAGTAGATTGGCTGTATTGGTGAAGCCTTGCTCACCCAGCAAGATTACAGCCAAAACAAAACAGTTTCCCCAGCCGTATCCTGACTTTCCAGATAATTTACTGTTGTTGTTTTTGTTGCTGTTGTTCGATTACATACTGCCCCATAATGCTAGTGCACTTTCTGCTGGTTTACAACATCATTATGCAAGGAACACATTGCCCCCCTCCAGCCATCTGCGTGCTCATTTTACTGACCTCGGAAGGATGGAAGGCTGAGTCAACCCCGAGGCAGCTAGATAAATAGATAGATACTCAGAGCAGCTAGTAAAGCTAATTATAAAAATAAATTAAACTAAAGAAGTGGGGGAGGATGACAGCACAAAAACAGTGAAGATAGAATGACTAAAAAGCCAGAGTTGGGTAAAATTTAATGGCTATTCACATAAGCTGATACATTCTGAAATAACCTTCCTTCAGAATCTAGAAATGTAAGAGATGTGGCATAAAGGTTCAACAGCAATTCTCTCGGTCAGGATCTTAAAGTATTACAGTAGATTATAGGTTAATGTAGTGCTCGTGAAAAAAGAAAATGTGTTAGCACACGTGAAACAATCATTAAATTGTACGTTACAAAATACTGAGTTTTGTGTCTTCCCCTCTCCCATGAAATAAGCTTAAAACATAAACAATATAATAAGGTGATAAAAATCACTCTACAGTAGATAACATAATCCCTGATAAATAATATAATCATGAAAAAGCCAATTTTTATTAAAATATTTCCATATCACACTTTGCTTAAGTACTTTGCTGAAAAGAAAGCAGTGATAGGACTAGCCTTTTTTGGGGGGTGGGGGGTGGGGAAGACTAGCTTTATTTATTTGATTTCTTTTTGTACCATCCATCAAGCAGAACATACTATTTTGGGTGGTTTACAACAGTACACAAAGAATAATAACAGAATCAAACAACTAACTGACCAAAAACAATATGAGTAACAATATCTACTACACAGTAGGATAAGCAGCAATAAATTTAACCCTAACTTTAAGGCATGGCCTTGTTTTTCTTTCTTTTACATTATAAAGTCTTTGTCCTGCCGTAGAAAGGGGTTTGTCCCAATGTGCCACTTGCCCATTCTGCTTGGTTTCTTGTGGAGAGTCATTTTATAATTATGTTATTCCATAGGTTCTATCACACCAAGAAACAGGATTGAAACCTAGATCCTGGGTAAACAGAAAAATTTGGTCTCCAGAACCATTTCAACAAGAAAAATTTAACGCAAAAATATTCTAGTGACATTTCCGTGTCACTGATTGTGCCAATTGGTCTTAGAAAAACCATCTGCCCAATCACTTAGATAGGATGGAAGAATCCTACAAAATGGAGATCAGCGCATCCAGTGCCCATCAATGAAGCTCCACCTACCTTGATTATTATGAGATTATCCTGTACAGCAGAAGAATAAAGCTATCAAGAGGGAGATCATAGCAAACTGCTAAAAAGGAATCGACAAACCAGCAGATAGGTGCCTCAGGAGAAAGAAACATACGTTCTTCATAGAACAGCAGTGGTACAAGGCAGGATGCTTGTTGGGTTTACATAGCCTAGTCCAGCAATGGCGAACCTATGGCACGCGTGCCACAGCTGGCATGTGGAGCCCTTTCTGCTGGCACGTGAGCCATAAATCACTGGATCGCTACCCCCCCCCCGTAGCCAAACCTGAGCAGGTGGCTGCAACTGTGGTGCTGGTGCCTGGACAGGCAATGGGTCAGGATCCGGAGCAGCTGGTGCTGGCGGTGGATCCGGAGTGGGGTCTTGAGGCACCTCCGTGCCCAAGATTCTCCCTTCCGCTGCCACTTCCAGTTCCGTTGCCACCACTTCTGGTTCTGCCACTCCATTCCCCCCCCCCCCCAGTTTGGGCACCCAAGCCCAAAAAGG